GGTCTATTCCCTCTGGAATTCCCAACCAAGAGAGCTTCCCCTGTTCTGTCCTCTATGACTGGAGAGGACACCTTGTTCCACCTGATTCGCAGAAGACAGCAGAGCTTCATTCATTTACTGGACTGACAAGCTGCACTGCTCTTCCTACGGTTCAGTTGCACAAGTTGTTTCAGTTACAACTGGGATGTTTTGTTTTCGTATGACTTTACCTCTGTGCCCAGCGCTGCTCATCCCCATCGCCTGGGCTGGAAAGATGACTCATTTCAGTGCACAAATGAATTCGCTGAGATTTGAACTCCAGGTTCCCTCTGATTCAGCTGAGGTTGATCACTTTTCCCCTCTGATTCCTCCCTTGAATGTGTGAAGAAACTGGAGGTTGATGTGAGTCCAGTGGTTGCTAAACCAGAATAACTGTGCAAATATGTCCCTCGTTAATTCAGCAGCAAGTCTGGATTTTGGAGGAGATTTTTCAGGGCTAGCCCACGCTGCCATATCAGGCGGTTTGTCAGAAAGCAGAAAAGCAGCAAGGCTCCCTTCCTGTACCTTGACAACCAAGACTGCTGCCTGTTCTTTAAGGCAATGCATATTTTGTTTGCATAAATTTTATTTAATGAGTATTTATATGCCAAGGCAATCATGGCAGTCCTGTCAGAACTGCTACAGTAAAACATCTTTCAGTTTGTTATCCACTATAATCCACAGTTGTTGAAGTTTATAACTCAGCAGTAAAATCTTCTCCAGGCTAAATCTTGGCATATTAAGTCTCAGGACTGAGGTAATTGGTTTTCTTTACATACCTCAAGAAGAAGAAAACACATTTAAATTTGCCAAAAGCTTATCATGCCCAAGCACCTACACTTCCTTGGTAGGTTCTTATTTAGTTGTTTTCATCCCCTCACTCTTTCTTTTCCCTTTTCCATTTCCATTTTCCTCCCTCTCACTGCCCTTATTCTAAAACTGGTTGCTGCTGTTCTAGGTGTGTGTGTGCGGGGTGAATGCCCAGCTGCATTCACAAAAGGCATCTCTGGTACTGCACGGAAGTGCAGAAATCCTTGTAGCCATAAAAGGTCTATTTATCCCACCTCTTCTCCTGAAGCTGTATGAGATACTTTCTGTAGACAGTCCCAATACTATCGGACGGCCTTGCCCCACCAGTCTTTCATGTAATTATCTTAGGGAAGGAAAGAAGACCCTGCTAGTGTATCATCATCATCATTTCCTACTTTTTGTCCAAGGAGCGCAAAAAGACTTACATGATCCTCTTCCTCGGCGTTTATCCTCACAATGATCCTGTGAGAGCAGCTTAGGCTGAGAGTCAGCGAGTGGCCAAATGTCACCCAGTTTGTGGCAGCTGGAACCCAGATCTCCTGCATCCCAGTCCAACACTCAGACCACATTAGTTCTTTGATTTGCTTTATAGGAAGGGAAATGAGGCTCAGAGAACCTATTTCCCAGCCCTTTATCGAGAAGCAGTTTATTGTGTGATGAAACAAAAAATGGAAGCAGGTCTTCAGCATTCTTCTCGGTCTTGCATTTAGTGGGCCCTGGGATCCTATAGTCGTGAAGTCTCCAAACCAGCCTTGGCCTCTAGAGGTTTTGCACTGCAACTCCCAACATTCCTGACAATTGGCCATACTGGTTAGGAGTGCTGGGAGTGGAAGTGCAAAGCATCCAGCTGGGGAAGGCTGATCTAGCAGATAGTAGAGCTCATGTCAATAGTGGGGGATCTTGAACCATTACTGATGAAGAACTTGGTCCACCAAGATGTTCTCCTATTGAAACTGAGAGCTGCGCAAAAGCAGCAGAGCACAGCTTCTGCCAGAACTCTGATTCATGGTGGCTTGCACGGAAGAATTTCCTTGTAGGCTGTGCCTAAATATGTGTTTGATATGTCCACAAAAAATGGGGAGGAAAACTGAGGCCACCGGGACATTGGAGGTAGTAGCTTCCAATAGCTGTGCAAGCCACAACCATTCTGGTATTTCAAAGAAGAAGAAGAGCTGGAGTATAGAGGCCCTTCCATATGTAATGGATGTTGCTATGTGGGGACTGGGGAGGCTAGTCTCCTTCATGGCTGGTTTGTTGATATGACCATGACTGAAGAGCATCAGGCTAGTTCATGGCATCTGATAATGGACTAGCGCTGTAGCATCACTACTTTCTGGTGTGGTGGACCATTGACTGAAAGTAGTCTGCTAGGCGAATGACTCTCTTTTGGTTCTGTATTTTAAAAAATATATTACTGATGGTACACCGCTAGTAATAATTGAGCTCAGTCCTTAGACGAGGCAAGGCTCCAGCGTACTAGTTAACTGATAGCCTACAAGTGTTCTTGATAGTGGTACATGGTCATGTAGCTGTGGGCACACTTCCTGCTGTATTTGCATAGGTCTGTATTTGCACACATACAGCTGTATATGCATAGGTCTTGTTTCTATAGTAATTTGTGCCGTTAGCAGAGTGATCCCATTCCCCACTTGCACGATTAGGTAAGTAAAATATCGGATGTCTGACTGGGGCTGCAGTGCACACAGCACAGGGTGAGGAGAGGTTGAAAGAACCGGGCTTGAGAAAGGAAGACTATGAGGGGACAGGAGAGCACTCTACAGGTCCCTCAAAGGCTGTCACAAAGAGGAAAGAAGGAAAAGATTGCCTCTCACTCAGCCCTGAGTGTAAGGCACAGAATACTGGACTTAAACTACAGTACACCAGGTGCAGGCTAGACACAGGGAAGAGTTTCCCGATTGTGAGAGCAGTGCGACAGTGGAGCCAGCTGCCAGGAGAGGCTGTGGGCTCTCCCACACTGGAGGCGTTCAAGAAGCAACTAGACAGTCGTCTGAGTGGGATGGTGACCCTGGCATCCTGCCGCAGCAGGGGGTTGGTTGGACTCGATGGTCTTCTTGCCCCCTTCCAACCCATCTATTCTATGATTCTTCAGGACAGTTTCTGCCTTTACTTGAGGGGGGGCACCCAGTCTTATGGCACAAGTGGCTTTTGTCAGGTTGCTCTTTTTGAGAACAAGACCTACATAGCTTTATTTCAGAAGTTAAGCTTATACTTTGCTTTATCAGCCTGCCATCTGTACCAATCATCTGGCATGACTGTTCCCATCACATCCAGTAGACAAATGGATTGTGGTCAGATGGATTTCAGAGACACAAAAGGAGGAGTCAAGTAAGTGAGAGCCAACTGGAGACTTTATAATCACCATCTGGCAGATTTGGGATGCAATTATTAACCTGCATCAATCCTGAAAAATGCGGTGAGCACCTTTGGCGAGGAGGTGTTCACAGCTCTCTTCCAGAAGCTTTCTGATGGTTACTGAGTGCCAGCAGCGGTGTGCATGCCTTTCTGACTCATGCTTTGCAGCTCCTCACTCAGGTGCTGTAAATTGGACAACTCAGCTTTGCAATGCATACTTGCTAAGTTGAAATTCATGATCTCATCTGTGTGTTTAATGACGTGCAAATAATTAAATTTCCATATGAAAGTAATTAGGCATCCAGTGTCACATAGCAAATGTTTATTTACCTTACAACTCACTTAAATACTATAATAGCAACTTGCATAGTGCAAGTTGCTATTAACAAACAAAATTACAAAAAAAGCCTCATTAATTATGTTACCACAATGTACTTTGCACTTCAGAGGGCAAGCATATATTCTGCAAAACATTTAGGACACAACCCATTGCATCCTCCACACCCACCTCCACTTGCACGTGGGACTTCTTTGCCCCCACCCCACCCCACCCCACCCCACCCGCTTCCTCAGCTCCCGCCTTGTAAGTGGAGAGCATGGCAGGGCTAATGACAGTGTGGAGGCACAGCTGGCCTTGGCCCTACTTGTTCTTCACCTTCTCAAAGCACACAAGTGCCAGCGTGTGAGAAATGCATCAGTATATTGACGCTAAGCATCCTCATTCCGTAACAGGGCCAGCCTGTTCAGCATTCAGGCCAGTGCTAGGATTCTGTACACTGGCCCTACCCTGGTGCCCATCAGATGCTTTGAATGACAACTCCCAGCATCCCTGCCCCTTCCATGTCCCAACTTGGGCTGATGGGATTGGAAGTGTGGGTCAGTCTGAAGCCACCTGGTCGGGGAAGCTGCTGTAGGTTGTGAGGGACTCAAGTGGGACATTCCAACCCCCTCCCTGCCTTCACATTGTCCTTTCCCAACCATTACCTGGTCTTTGTCTTGTCAGCGTCCCATGGCTCTTGGTGACCACTGAGCCTGTTGCATCTTCAATGTCTTGGTGGAGCCAGATGACTGGTGCCACCAGTGCTCTCTCCTGCCCGCAGCCGTCCACAGGTGCCATGCCAGCATCTATTCCGAGACTAGCAGAGATCACAGTGCTCAGTGATGGGCAATCAGCCTTTGGCTTGGGTGTAAATATTTGCTTAAGGTCACTGGAACCACATTTCCATCAGGGTGGGAATTCATGGATGTAACTCAGCAGAAGTTAAGTATTCTGTAATCCCATTTCTTTTAGGGGGAGTCTTAAGCATGTGCCTAAACTTCTCCCATTTCAATGAATGGAACTTGAAAGTGTTTAACTTTGCCTAGATCAAGCTCTTAGTTCAAACAAAGTTAACTGAACATGCTTCTATTTTTCATTACTTGGCAATGGCCCAATACTGCTCCTAGAGCAGCACTTTTCATTTGGCTACGGACATGTGATGTTAGCTCTGCCATATTTATTGCTGGCGATGATGAGTGATTCTGTCATCCACAAATACTGGGGAGAAAAAAAGGTAAAATGATGAAGAACTTTGCATCACCATGACTACCAGTGCAAGTAAATGATTTATCTTGAATTATACATGCTTTGAACTTACTTGGAACACATACGTGTTCGTTGCTAAACAGAAAAAACTGCCATGACTAATTGTGTCTGCATCTACAGATTAGATTTATCGTTTTAAAAATACTGCAATATATTCAGTTGCTGTTCATGACTAAGCACAGACAAAACTATGGATTCAGTGTGATTTGCGGACATGTCACCAACTCACTCATTCAATAAAATGCATAAAATGTTCCTCAACCAAAATTGTCTGTGGAAAAAGTGCACTTAGTTCTGCTTGCTTGGATCATGGAACATTTTTGTCCTAGCAGGACATTTTAGGGTTGCTGCTGTCCCACACCCTCCTTGGTTTTTAGAATGAAAATTCTGCACACTCAATTCTGGTTCATTGGATCAGTTTCTTTTGGAGGACACAAATGTTTTGAGAGTGGAGGATACAGTTGGCTGACTCCCCAAGGGCAATCCCCCAGTCACTAGCCACCCCGTGGTTCATAGGGTGGATCTGCTGTTCCTCTTCTCTTTCTTTAACATTTAACTTGTATTTCTCAACACTGATATCCTGCCTTCCTACAGCTGTATGTATTCAAGATGCTGTTCAGTTTTTTTTAAAAATGACAAAACAAGCTAAATGCACTAAGAAACTGGAGGAAAAATAAAAACAAACAATAGCAATGAAATGCCAACTTTAATCACCCCCCCCTCCCCAAAAGCACCATCACTGCAATGCATGGAGAACTTGGATTTTGCTTGCAGAAGCCCCGACTGGCTGATTCTGGGGGATCCTTCCACTCCTACTCCCTGCTGCTCACCCCATTTGGCAGGATAACTTGACTCTCTGTGTAACAATATCAAGGGGATTGGAGGGGCTGCCCTGGAAAGGAGTGGATGGGTAAATCCAGTTCTAGCAGCCAAGTTGATCCATGTAAAGCCCCTAACTAAAACCATGTTTGGTAGAATGAAACAATTCTAGCATTAGTGTTACACTGCATTTCTATCTAGCCTTTCTTCCTCTCACCGGGAACCCAGGGCAGCTTGCAAGGTCCATAGTGACAAACCTGTGATGTAGTTCAAGCTGAATGGCCCACAGCCCAAGCTTGTCCTTACCAGGTTTCCTGCTGTTGGAAGCAGGGAAGGGACAGTGAGAAGATCCTCAGAAACTGAAGATTGCAGGCACACTTTCATCAGAGGACGTGATTCTTTCTCTACAAGCCACGTAGGGCCCTAAAGGTCAAAGGGAGCACCTTGAGCGAAGTACTGAAATGATCTGGAAGCTGATAAATCTGGTGCAAAGTGGATATGATCTTTCCAGTTCTGTACTGCAGTAATGGACTATGCCACTGGATTTAACCCTAGGTGACCTTTGACTTCATCTCTGTATGGTTTGATATGGTCAGACAAATGCATAATCATGAGTTGTTCCTCTGCCTCCATGATCTCTGAATGGGGTGCGTCCTACCATTAGGCACAATGAGGCAGCTACCTCAGTGGGCAGAAACCAGCCTGCAGACAGAGCAGATGCATGATTTCAGAGGGCGAATCTGAGTATGCTGCGCACTTCTGCTGGCCCGCTGTCCTCAGAGGTGGTGAGGGAGGCTGTCTCATCCCCAGTGCTGAAGGAGGATTCAACAGCCAGACTGATTGGCTTCTGTATGGAAAATGCAGAAGGCACCATCTTGTCTTTTGCCTGGGGCAGCAAAATGTTTTGGGCTGGCCCTGAATCCATAAGGCAAGTAACTTTACATTTCCCCTGAAATGTTTCACCATTGGGACTCTTGATGTGTTTTTACACAACATCCCCACCATTCACAAACAACTTTCCCAATGAAATGAAATTGCATTAGCATTGAATCAGTGTGTATAAGTGTTGATTGCTCTTGAAGTAATCAAGGTTGGTGGTTGGGCAATTCGCTGATGAATGGTTGTGACTGATGCGTTCTCAGATTTGCTGCTCTGAGCCTTCAAGGTGCCATTTAGAAAGGCCAGGTGAGTAGCCATAGTTCTACAATTTAGGTTTACATGTTTATCCTTCATGAGTGTATATATGCTGCAAGGTGTAAATGCCAGCACGATCAGTGCTTTTGGAAAGCAGTGGACTAGTGCCAGCTTTATTCTACTGGCAGGGTTTTCTTTTAAATTTAATAGATGTGTACACTGCTTATGATTTTTAAACAAAATTTAAGTGGTTTGCATGGGAATACATTAATATACGAAAATACAACTCTTCTCAGAATGTTTTCGTCAGTGGCAGGAGTGGGGGAAATAATCTTTGTAGATTCTCTCCCTTCCTTTCTCTTTAGCCTGCAATGCCGTCTCCTCTACTGTTTTAGAAGACCCCCTGACTCTCTGGTGCAGGTTTTCAAGGGCAAGAGGACTGCAGGGGAAGCAGGGTATGGCTTTCCACCATTAGGATTCCCACAATGAATCAGAAGTCTCCTGGAGATCAAAGGGACCCTTCTGTTTTAGTTGGCTTATGCCAGATCCAATCCATTGCTTTCTTTAGAGTTTTACTCTTGAATATATTCAATGATAGGCTTCTGAGTTTTGCTGAAAATCCCCCCCTGTCTCCACCCCATCTCTTTGCCTTCATCCATGAAAAGGTGCCCCTAGTAATCCCACTCATCTCTTAGTGACGAAACATTTATCAAGTAGAACATGAAACGAGGGGTTTGTTTCATTGTGGAACGGTGGAGGAGGAGGTATCCTGCCGCTTATTGGAAAAGCGTGAGACTGGGATGCGCCACACTGGTACATCCAAGGCCCCATGAAGGTGGAGGCTAATGCTCCAATCAGGAACTGGACTGAGCTTCCGGGCTTTGCTTCTCGTGGCGTTAGTGCCTGGCTTGATGACTGACATGTACTTCACCTGGGGATGTGTAAATTCAGCTCAATTTGATATCATGTTTTCAAGAGATGGCTTCATCAGCTGCTCAAATCTGTCCCTTTATAATGTGCTGGCCTTTCAAATAGGGAAGACATTTTATTGACATCTTTCTGGGCTGCAAAGCTTCTCTGATGTTTCCGTCTGTTACAAATTTTTGTTCAGAAATAAGGTGGTTCTGCCCAATGTGCAAGCTACACTCGGATAGGAATGGCTAGATAGTAAGGTAAGCAATTTATTTAGTTGAGGGAAACAGACTCATGCCCACTTCCTAGCTTAAACATATTGAACAGTTCTTGACAATAGAAAAGCATTGTAGAATGCCATAAGTGGATGGCAAAGGAAAGACCATTATTCAAATAGGCCAGGCCCACACTTCTAATATCAGTCTCAGTGTGACTTCGAGCAATTAATGCCACTTCTCTAAGTTTCCTCCCCAGCTGGAAACCCACTCCCAGTCCCAAGAACCTCCTTGTATTTTTTTGTTTTACCTACATAGGCTATTAGCTATATGAAACAAAGACTGTTTCTTTGGGGAGGAGGAACAGTTCCATTGTAGAAGTTCGGCATCTAACATTTCCATTCAAAATAGCTTAGGTAGCAAGAGCCCCTGAAGAAGACCTCTGCCAGAGACCACAGTCAAAAATGACCAAATGCTGCACGTGTCAGAAGCCTTGGGGCGTATACGTTCTAGGGCACTTGATGCTCCTCCAAAGGACTTGGTAATCTGGGAATGTTGCATTTCCCAGTGTCCCTGATTGCTTGGGCTGCGGCTGGTGCATCATTCCAGAAGATAAGGGAAGCGTGCCCCCAGCAAGACCTCTCTGTTGCCCCAGTCAAGAGGTGGGTGGGGGAGGAAGGGCACTGCTGCACCTGCAGTGCCTGCTTCTATGGCTCTTATGGGGCCAGCACGGCAGACAGGCTGCACACAGGTGGCTACTTTGCTGAAGCAGCAAGTCTTCCCCCTTATTTATGTATTAGATTCATCTCTCACCCCATTAGCTAGTGAGGCTCTTTGGGCAGGTTGCAGGACTGACTGCTCTGGTGCTAGCGCTGAAAGCACATTAGTAGCTGTGATAACTTCTTGGTACAAGTGTGATGGAGGCTGGGGTAGAGGGCAGTCTTACAGAGAAGAAAAGCCTGCTCACCTAACTTTCTGAGTGCCTAATTGTAGTCTTGCACAAGTTAATGGAGTGTTGACAGAGATGCTCAGCCTCAACCAGCTTCAGGGCTAGTCAATTTCACTCGCAAGGTAAACTGTGTTCACTCCACATCCCACACACTCTGTGGGCCACATCACACAGAAATTCGCAGGATCAAGCTAGGGGATATAGACACACTTTAAAAAGATCTGGTCATCTTCCTTTTTATCAACACTGGGGGAAAGGCTTCCCAGGTGGGCTACACAGAGCTTGTAAAATAGTTCATTGAGGATAGAAATTACTGCAACTGGTTCAGCTAAGTGAATTAATTTCACTGTAGAGGAAAATGAGAAGTGCCCAAAGTAGTTTCTCCAACTGCTTTTAAGAACACCTAAAACTAGATTCCCTTTGCATATTTTATCCTTTATCCTAATTTCACCTTGGGCAAAAAATAGTAATACTTAAAATGCAAATATACTTTAATGCATTTTTAAAATGGAATGCTGATTCCAGATGGTTTGAATTCTGCTTCCAGCCATGTTTGACATGGCCACTATAGCAATAAAACAACCTGATCAAACACTGAAGGCCTACCGTATGCAGTTGGTTGCACGATCTCTGATCAGAGAAAGAGGACAGTCTCAGGAAAACACTCCATGGCCATCTGTTCACTGAATTACACCTATGCCACTTGCCTGACTGAAGCTCACCCATTAGCTGTAACCTTGGGAAATAGGTACATTCACTGGAAGCTTCTAACTGTGATGGTGGCAGTGATTATGATGATTAATGTATTTATATCCTGCCTGTTCTTGGTGTTGAGACTAAGGCTGCTAGAACCCAAGGCAGCTTTTGCCAATCAGGTGAGTTAGTCCTACAATCAAATCAAATCAAATCAAATCAAATCAAATCAAATCAAATCAAATCAAATCAAATCAAATCAAGAGGCCCCACTCCAGCAGACATTTGCATGCAGGGCCTGCATGAAGAACAGGCATGGCTGGCTACTGCTAAGGACCTGGACCCCAGCTGGGGCCTGCTGAGCAAGGCCCCTCAGACTTCTCCTTGCACCCAGTTTTGTTCACCTGCTTTTTGCTCTGGCCCAGACATTGCTGGTGATGAAAAGCAGGCCGCTTGCCTGCCACTCTGTCTCTCGAGCAAGCCCCTGGAAGCAACGGCAAGGC